TCCTAACAAGACATATGTATGCCTTATGGGCGAACATTCTATGTACAGGTTCTGTATAACAGTTGTTTTTTTGCTTTTTTGTTTGTTTGTTTGTTTTGGAGAATCAGACATAGGCCTACCTGTGCACTTTATGTACCTCCTCTCATTGAAACATTGAAATCTGTCACATGAAGTGACCAGTATAATCCCCATTTGTAGATAAAGAAACTGAGTTTTCTTTAAACTATCTGCAGGAGTTCACCAGTCTTTTTACAGGACAGCTAATTAGTGTTCCTTCATCATCTAGGAAAGTGTGGAGCAGGTATAAAATGCATCTGAGCATTCCAGGCTTCTAGTAAATATCCTATTATAAATGCTGATGCCAGGTCCTCTATATTCTGAAATAAGGATATTATAAGTCTTTAAAGAGCTCTAGAAGTTCTAGATTACATAATCAATCCCTTCATATAGTTTTCCCTGCTAGGGGAACAAACACAACAAAAAAATCAACTGTGATTGCCAGGCTTCATGATGATAAGGAAAACGACAGTTGCGCAGCTTCAAAATAGCCATTAATACACATTCCTCGTGTTCGAGGAGCCTCTAGTGAAAGAAGGGCCATCATTATGTGGATCCTCCTCCCAGGGACTGGACTAGGGTGCCAAAATGGCCACTGAGTCTTTCTGTTCCAATACTACAGGATGCAGGCTTCTGGGCCGGATTAAAAGAAAAAAAGCAGCTGCGGAAAAGCAGGTAACCAAGGGCAGAGGGTGTAAAGTAAAAGGACAAAGGCTTTGCTGGTAGGGACTGAGGTTCCAAGCACCGCGCACAGACACCTCACTCAGAGGGTTTGTGACCGCCGCTTCTTCTCCTGCCCCCAAGCCTCCCTGCAACCTATTACTGGTGGTGAAGTGGTTGAAGTGTTGCTGGGCAGACTTGGGAGCACCTCCTTCCTTACCTGCAAGATTCAGCAGTCAAAGTGGTGAAAAGTGAAGATGACAGGGAAATGGAAAGGAGGCATGGAAGAGCAGGAAAAGAAGTGGATTAAAAAAAAAAAGAGGGGGAAAAAAAAAGCTTAGGGTATTCTAAAAAAACTTCTGTTCTATGCTGGCGGGAATATCCAGGAATGGGAAGCTCACTCCAGCAGTCCATTCCCACCTTGGACAGCTCTGGTGGAGAAAGTCATCTTTGGACTGGGCTGAAATTTGACTTAGATAGGCCTACAGAACTATCTAATGCCTCTTCCACACGACATCCCATAGCACTTGGTTAAAATCCACAAAACCCCATTCCTATTTAGGGAGTGAGGTGGGAAGGGAAGCAAACTGATTTCATCAGACTCATAACAAGCTGAATTATTTCCCTTGAAAATATGAAAATCTGGGGCTGGGGATGTGGCTCAAGTGGTAGTGCGCTCACCTGGCATGCGTGGGGCCCGGGTTCGGTCCTCAGCACTACATACAAACAAAGATGTTGTGTCTGCCAAATGCTAAAAAATAAATATTTTTTTTAAAAATATGAAAATATTGGTGAATTTCAGAATAATAACGGGGAACACACAAAAAATGAAAAAACTGCCAGACACAGTGATGCACACACCTGTAATCCCAACAACTCAGGAGGCTGAAGCAGGAAGATTGAAAGTTCAAGGAGCTTCAACTGAGACTCTACCTGAAAATAAAAATAAAAGGGGTTGGTTGGGGAGGGGCTGTAGCTGTGGTTCAGTGGTAGCACACTTGCCTGGCATGTGTGAGGCACTGAATTAGATTCTCAGCACCGCATATAAGTAAATAAAATAAAAGTCTATCAATAACTTTAAAAAAAAATTAAAAAAAAAAAAAGGTTGGAGAGGTAGCTCAGCTCCAAGATGATAAGCAAAGTGACAGTTGCCCAGTTTCAGAATGGCCAGTTCAATCCTCAGTAGAATTTATTTATTTACAAAAATAAATAAATTTTAAAAATTAAATAGTGCTGGGGATGTAGTTCAGTGGTAGAGCATCCTGGGTTAAATACTCAAGATCACCCCCAGCCTGAAAACAAACAAACAAACAAAAACATGTTTTTATTTTTCTAGGACTCCTAAAGCATCTGGCTAAGTGGAAACATTTTGTAGTCTGTTATTCTCAGTGGACTAACCAGAATAACTTAAGTACACAACTACTATGTGACCAGGACAGTTGCATAAGGTCCCATGCCTACAAGGGGACACTAAGTTAAAATGTTCTGTGGTCACAGTCACATCTTGGAATTCTTTTTTTTCCCTGGCACTGGAGATTGAACCCAAGGGCACTCTATCAATCACTGAGCTACAGTCATAGCCCTTTTTTATTTTTAATATTTTTAGAAATTTATTTTCTCACAGTTCGGAGACTATAAAGTCCAAGATCAGTGTGTCAGCAGGGGTAGTGTCTGGTGAGAGGGGCTCCCTCCTTGAATTGCAGACTTCTTGGTAGATTCTCAAATGTTCTTTCCTCATTGTGAATGCAAGATAGTGCATTCTAGTGTGTATTCTCTCTTATTTTTTTAACATTTATTTTTTAGTTGTAGTTGAACAAAATACCTTTATTTTATTTTTTATGTGATGCTGAGGATCGAACCCAGGTCTTCACACTGTAAGGCTAGCACTCTACCGCTGAGCCACAACCCCAGCCCTATTTTTTATTTTTTGAGATAGGGTCTCCCTAAATTGCTCAGGCTGGCCTGGAACTTGACATCCTCCTGCCTCGATCTCCCAAGTTGCTGGGATTCTAGGTATGTACTTCCATGCCCAGCTACACCCCAGATTTCTGTATGTGGCAACCCTGTTGGCTTCATTTTGCTGGTGGCTTCTCTCCCTTCTCTTATATACATCAACTTTGCTCAATAACCATGCCATCTAATGGACTTCTCATCATAGCTCCAGGAATCCATTCTCTTTCAGGAGATATGAGGTATCTGAAAGCACAGACAGAAGTAAGGTGACTCATCAGGTGCCCTGTAGTGTAATGGCCACAAATGCCAATGCTGAGGCTAGAAAGCCTGGCTTGAAATCCCTGTTCTGTTGCTGCCTAGGTTGAGCAAGTTACTTTACCTCTTTTGTTCCTCAATTTTTTGAGGAATAAAATATTTTAATGTTTGTTTTATTGTTATGAAGATTAAATGAGTTAATCTATATAAATTGATTGGAAGAGTGACACATGGAAGCATTCAATAAGGTGGTATGATTTTTGGTTTTGATTTTTTTTTCCAGAGATGTTGTGATTTCCCCAAAAGGGTTTTGATTGGCTGACTAGTTCCTGATCCACTCTGACCATCCCAACACTCCCATTCTTCCACCCCCATCCTGATCTCTCATCTAGCTTTTGACAGCTGGCCTGGTGCTGAACCATTACAAACACCCTACCATCCCTGCCTAGAAAAGCATCTTCTGCATGACTCACCTACTGAATATGCATCATGGAGGCAGAGCATCCCAGGCCACTTGGGTTCTGGAAAGAGAATTTCCACTTGGAAGGAAGTCAGCAGATACATTGTGCCTCCTTTTCGCATGAGATTCACTCCCCTGACCTTGACTTTCAAGCTTAGGACTCCAAATTAGCCAAACCCTAGTTATGCCCAAACTCATCTATCTTGCAGGGAGAAAGAATAAGCAAGTTTCACATTCAGCTAACTATAATCTATCCTTCTAGCCTGTTATGCCTGTGTCAGACAAAAGCAAAAATGTATGCCCCACACATGCTTCTACCCATTACTTCCCAATGTTACCTTCTGTGTGCCTGACTAACTTTTTGTGATGATAGAAATGCTCTACATTTGTGTTGTCCAATGTGGTAACCATTAGCTGGGGTGCTATGAGCTTTTGAAACAGCTTATGCAATCAGGAATTGAATTTTTTATCTTATCTTGTTTTAATTAATTCTAACTTTAATGGCTCTTTGTAGCTAGTGATTACCATGTTGGACAGCTTGGCTTTAAATTGTCTATCCTTCTCCTTTTTCTTATTTGATGAGGCATTCTTGCTTTAAGATTGGGAAATAGGGCTGGGGATGTAACTCAGTGCTAAAGTACTTGCCTAGCATGCTTGCAGCCCTGGATTTTATCCCCAGATTAATAATAATAAGAAACTTCGTGTCAATGCTGGTCTCACTGTGCAGTTCTCAGCTGAGTCTAAGGTAAGAAAAAAGTTCATATTCATTTCATACTCTCTTTCCCCTGTGACACCAAGGAAATCAGAGAACAATACAAGGCTGAGGGATGTGTCCTGCATGCTGGCTCTGTCCCTGATGCCTGTGTTGATCATCAGTTGCTGATTCTCTTCCTCCATGCTTGCCTCTCTGGGCAGAGATGATCATCAGTTCCTGATGTCCACCTTATAACTTTGCCAAGCACATTCTTTGGGGGTAAAAGACTAACTAAGCTCAAGAAACCTGTCCCATATCTGAAGCATAAGAAAGGGAGCTGGATTTGTAGTAGAACACAGGGAATTTGACATCAAGAAAAATGACCTGGTAATGACAGTTGTGAGACAATAGAAATAGGAAGCCAAGGCTAAATAGTCTTTCCTTGTCCTTGTCCTCTTTCTCCTCCTCTTGCTGCTGATCCTCTTCCTTTAAAGAGTCAACAATAATCATGCTCCCTTCACTAATTCCAGGAGGTAAGAGAGATCCAAAAAAAAACTTACAGGCTCCATGAACAAGCCTCTTCTGAGGTCCAGTGATGATCGATCCCACTGGCCCCTAGATGCCCTCTCTAAGGCTAGCTCACTGGGAGGTGGTAAGAGAGGAAGGTTCAGTACCAGGCAGACACTGCTCCATTGCTCTGAGGGGGGTGGGGAAGGCAAATCCTGGTCATCCCCTTAGTCTGTAGCCCTTTTGTATAAGTGTCTGGCAAGGGTGACGTGGAGCTGTTCCTAAGGGCACAGCTGCAGCAGTGGCCCGAGTGGAGGCAGGGCCCTGGGCAGTACTGCCTCCCAGATCCTCCCTTCAAGCTCCCCAGGGGTAAGGGACATGCAGCCCAAGGGTCTTTGCTTGGCCTGACCCCATCAAGGGGACTCTCTGTCCCCAGTAACAGCAGAGATGGCAGGTTTATCAAGCTTCTCTCTACCCAGCTGTGTCCTCACCTTTCTCTTCCTTCAGCTGTCTTCCAGTTATGCAGGTAAGATTTGTTTATCCCTGCTGTGTGGAGTTCCAAGAACAGAAAGGGTAGTTTCCCAGGGCTCATCTCCAATCATCCTCAAACAGCTATATGAGTTATCTTTCTAAAAACTTAGATCTACTAACACAACTCTCCTCTAAAACCTCTGTGGCTCCTTTCAGAATAGAATCCAAACTCTGTGTGTGTGTGTGTGTGTGTGTGTGTGTGTGTGTGTGTGTGAATTCATACATGGCATGTTCACATGCACATGTGTGGTGCTGGAGGATCGAACCTGGACCTCAAACATGCTAGGCAAGTGCTCTACTACTGAGTTATACCCCTAGCCCAGGTTTTGATTTTTCACCTCTCAAATGGGGATAAAATTATAACTTCTTGCAGTTGCTGTTAATGTTAAATAAGATGAGATATGTAACATGCTTAGCAATGCCTGTAGTAAATTCCAAATAAATGTTGAATTATAACATATTGTTATGTTTGAGAACTTGCCCTGCAGAATTAGGCACCAATAAGTTTTCATGGGGGAACTTTTTTATCCCACGTAGAGGAGAAATAAAAGAAACAGAAGTGGTGCTTGCTTCAGCAGCACAGCACAGCAGCATGTATACTAAAATTGGAACAATTGAGATTAGCATGGCTCCTGAGCAAGGTTGACACGCAAGTTCATGAAGCATTTCATGTTTAGAACAAAAAGAAAAAAAGAAACAGAAAGGCTAGGGGTGTAATTCAGTGGTAGTGTAACTGTATAGCATGCATGAGGTCCTGGGTTCAATTCCAAGCACCACAAAGAAAGAAAAAAATGCTGATTTCTTTTTCTTTTTTCTTTTTGGTACTGGGAATTGAACTCAGGGGAACTCAACCACAGAGCCACATCCCCAGCACTGTTTTATATTTTATTTGGAGACAAGGTCTCACTGAGTTGCTTAGTGCCTCATCATTGCTGAGGCTGGCTTTGAACTCTCAATCCTCCTGCCTCAGCCTCCCAAGCAACTGGGATTATAGGCATGCACCACCACATCTAACTAAAATGCTGATTTCTTTAAGTGAGGATATAGCTCTGTGGCAAAGCACTTGCCTAGCATTCTTGAGGCCCAGGGTTTAATTTCCAGTACCATAAAGAAAAGAAGACAGGGCTCCAACCTCAGGGAGACCCCTGACTCACAAATAGGTCCAGTCTAGATATTCGCAGGAGAAATATTTTCAGATCTCTGAAACCAGAGCCCATCCCCAGGATCTAAGGAAGAAACCAGCCTTATCTGGTAGCTCAGAGTCTAGCTTGGAAAACCTGTCTTCATAGGAAAAAGACTTGTAGATATTAAGGCAGGGACAAGATCTGGAATGTGGTTGAAGGTACATTGAGTAAAGAAGAGTGAAGTAGAGCCACCCCTAAAAGATCTTAGAGTAGAATTTGGGGAACAGGGTGTGAACAAGGAGAGAGTGCTGAGAAGTCATAGAGAGTGATGAAAGCAAAACCTCTGGGGGAAAGGGGACCAGTATAGCTAGGACAAAACAGGGAGGTGCATGGGAGAACTAAACTTCAAGATACTGGACCACATTCCAAGGTAGAACCTAAAGGATTGGTGGGAATCAGAGATGGATGCTGCTGGCAAAAATGTGGGCAGCAGCTGTCAAGATGATCCCATACTAGAATATTCTGTACAAGACAATCAGGACATCTCTATGACTAGAGACTGTTTTGGTATATGCTCAAAAGGAAAAAATGAGCTCCTCACTGACTTTTGAATTCCACTTAACAGTTGAGTGTGTTCCTCCCTTTCTTGTTCGAAACAGCTCTTCCCATGTCAAGGGCCCCTCTGACCCTCAGTTTCTTCTCTTTGGTGTCTTGGACAGGACAGTTCAGAGTGATAGGTCCAGGGCACCCCATCCGGGCTCTGGTAGGGGATGAAGCGGAGCTGCCATGTCGCATATCTCCTGGGAAGAATGCTACAGGCATGGAAGTGGGGTGGTACCGCCCCCCCTTCTCTAGGGTGGTCCATCTCTACAGAAATGGCAAGGACCAAGATGCTGAGCAGGCACCTGAATATCGGGGCCGGACAGAGCTGCTGAAAGAGTCTATTGGTGAAGGAAAGGTGACTCTCAGAATTCGGAATGTAAGGTTCTCAGATGAAGGAGGTTTCACCTGTTTCTTCCGAGATCACTCTTACCAAGAAGAGGCAGCAATGGAATTGAAAGTGGAAGGTGAGTCATCCAATGAAATACCACATTCATACCCACAAAGGAATTCACTGTAATAGGATTTGATCAATTGTGACTCCCTAGGAATGATGTTTTCCTTTAGGACAAATAAAAGAACATCCCAAAGAAAAACAGAAAAGTTCCCCTAGGATACTTAGATACATTCATTCCATCTTAGGAAGGTTAACTTAAAGATTATTCATATTTCCCTCTAGTGATACAAAATCATCATAGATGGATTATTCTGGATTTTTGCTGCCTCCATTTCTCATCTTTTCTATTTTCCTTAATTTTTTTTCTCAAATTGTATCCACAAATGTACACATTATATAGACTTTTATATCAATGAATAAGAACAATCATATGGATAATTATGGGCTTTTCTTTTTTATTCTTTGGTTGGGTCACACTTCTATTCTCCGTCCTGGAGAGAAAGCTCTTCTACCATAGTAATTCATATTAACTTTCTTGTTGATATTCTTTCATATATATGAAAATATATATATTTAATATAATATGTAATATTATATAATATGTATATATGTGTATATATGTGTGTGTGTATAATGTATATATTCACAAACCCAAGGTCACAAGGTTTTTGTTCCCTACACTCTTTAACTTGCTTTTATCATGAAATGCCTCCAAGCCATATAGTATAGTTCTAAAAAAATCTTTGTGTGTGTGTATGTGTTTGTGTGTGTATGTGTGTGTTTCATTGGGTGAGAAACATTATTGAAAGCCATATTCCTAGTAAAACATAGTACAACTAAATGAACAAGCAAAGCAGATATCTGAATATAATTACAGAAAGAGATACACCTGTAGGTTTTACCTTATTTGCTTCAATTCTGCAGAAATCCATTTTCAGTATGTTTTCTGTGATGGATGATTTTGGAGTTAGTTCATTCATTCATTCATTCCATCTTAGGAAGGTTAAAATGTGGCAAGGTGAAGTGGACAAAGGGGAAGCTTTGAAGATTAATGGCCATTTAATTAAAGAACAAAAATGTTCTGAGTTCCTGAGCCTCCAGTCCTTTCCCCTCCTCACCCTCCCTCTTCCCCCACCTGCAGTGCAAACATCAGACAATCCTTCACTTTTGTGTCTGGGCTGGGGGTGACTGTTGCAGTGTAGGAACCAGAAGATGGCATTGTGTGCTGAATAACAATGCACTATTTCTAGAAACGAACTGCAGGGACATGAAAATAGCTCTGTGTGTCACAGAATGTTCTTCAAACAGCTGTTTTTACTGGGGAATTTTTACCCACAAAGATGTCAAATAGGAAGGATTTCTGTGGTTATAGATTTTCATCCTTCCTGTTCAACAGCTTACTACTTCTGCCTAGGAACTGCCTCCCCAACTCACTCCCTGAGGCCCACCTCACCAAAAGAGAAAGGGAAAAAAAGAATTAAGAGAAAAATACCCTAAAGCTTTGCCTCAGGGGAGAAAGTTTTCCTTTGAGCTGGTTTCCGCATTCCAAACCCCTCCTCCTTCTCTTGGTCTGCATACCTAAGAATCTGAAAACAGGATTGTTTTACAACTAAGTCCACTTGACTACTCTGAGGAGCCCGGAAGTGAAACAAATATAGGAATGAATGCAGTAACCATGTTTTTTAAATATAGAAAACTCCTTCTCCAAAAAGTTTCCCATCTCTCTTTTTGACTTTTTTGATGTCATTTTACAGTCTCTAATCATTTCTTTAAACTCAATATGAAAACTTAAAAACACTTACAAAAGTATAGAGAATATCATAATGGACCTCCAAGTACTCTGCTCAGCAGTTATCAAACCAGCTACAACCAGATTTACCTGATTCCTGTTCATTGCCACTCCCTAGCAACTTGCTGAAGCAAATCCCAAGCAGCATTATCATTTCATTGCTAAGTGCTTGAGAACGTATCACTCAAATATAAGAGCACTTTTTTTAAAAAAGAAAACAACCACAATTCTATGATCATGTCTTTAAAAATCAACAAAAATTTCTTAGTATCATCAAATAGTGTTCTATTGTTCAAGGTGTTCAAGTTTTCCTTTCATAAATGTATTTTTACAGTTGGTTTGTTTGAGTAAGATCCAAACAGACTTTCCACATTTGTATTTGCCTATAGGGTTTCCCATAGTCTGAATTTTGCTGACTACATTCCCACATTTCTGATTAACATGCCCTTTATTTCAGGTGAACTGAGAAATCTATGCAAGATCAGACTCAGGTTTGATTTATTTTGGCATATTTCATAGAGGCTGATAATGTCTGCTTTTATCTCTTTCTATGATTCTAATCTTTTGTGAAAGTATAAGAAGTATGCAAAAAAGAAAGAAAGAAAGAAAGAAAAGTGTGCACAGTTAGCCTTCCATACCCATGAATTTCACTTCAGTGGATTTGAATTACCTAGAATCAAAATTATTCAGAAAAAAAGCCAGACATAGTGGCACACACTTGTGTGTGCAACTCAGAAGGCTGAGGAAGGAGAATTGCAAGTTCAAAGCCAGCCTTGGCAACTTGGTGAAACCCTGTCTAAAATACAAATAGAAAGGGCTAGACCCTGAGTTTCAGCACTACAAAAAAAAAAAAGAAAGAAAACAAAAGTTGAGGATGTAGCTCATTAGTGGATCTCCCCTGGGTTCAATCCACATACCATCATCATCATCATCATCATCATCATAATGGTGATGATGTCTGTATTGAGCATGTAGAATTCTTCTTGTAATTATTCCCTAAACGATACAGTAGAACTATTTACATAGTATTTACATTGCATTAAGTATTATAAATAATCTAGAGATGACTTAAAGTATATGGTAATGCACAAATACAAAATAAATAAAGTATATGGGAAGGGGCTAGGGGTGTATCTTAGTAGTACAGCACTTAACTAGCATGCTTAAGGCCCTAGGTTTAACCCCCAGCATGGCCAAATAAATAAAGTATTTGGGAAAATGTACATAGGTTAGTTATATGCAAATACCATGCCATGTTATATAAGGGGTTTGAACATATGTAGACTTTGACCTCCAAGGGGCTTCTGGAACAATTCCCCTGTGAATTCCAAGGAATGGTTGAACCTGCTTAATTATATAGCTACAGGTAACTTTCAATAAGAACTTAAAAGTAGCTGGACGCGATGGCACACATCTGTTATTCTAGCAGCTCAGGAGGCTGAGAAAGGAGAATTGGAAGTTCAAAGACAGGCTCAGCAAAGGCAGGCGGCGGGCGGGTGAGGTGCTAAGCAACTCAGTGAGACCCTGCCTCTAAAAGAAAATACAAAATACGGCTGGAGATGTGGCTTAGTGGCCGAGTGCCCCTGAGTTCAATCCCCATTATCAAAAAAAAAAAGAAAGAAAAAAAAAACCTTAAAAGTAAAGTATGTGCTGCATTTTTTTAAAATGGAGAATACAATAATAGACAAAAGTCTTGTTCTACGTTTCTTATTCCATTTCTTTTTCAAAGCTAAGCTCAGGTGTCAATTCTGTGTCACCTTCTTTGAATCTTGGTGATATTTGTTTCTTTATTCAAAACAGCTAATGGATGCTGTGCTGGGAATTGAGGATACAGCCTGGGTGGTATCAATTGTTCCTTTCAGATCCCTTCTACTGGATCAACCCTGGAGTGCTGGTCCTCATTGCTGTGCTGCCTGTGCTCCTTCTGCAGATCACCGTGGGCCTCGTCTTCCTCTGCCTGCAACACAGATTGAGAGGTACAGGACAGAGGTTGGGCCCATCAATATCCTTCCCTGTCAGTAGCTAACCTCTTAGAGTTGGGTCAGTTAACATTTCCTTTTGAGAGACTTTCAAGATCAGAATTACACAATGATAAATTTTACATCTAACCGAATGCTTTCACATGGTATAATAGGAGCTTGCATTTCCCTAGGAGGTGAATCTGACATGTAATGGCCTCATATACAAAGAGGCAACTGAAGCCAAGAGAAGTTCAGTGACTTGCTCAAATTGACACAAGTTGTAAGTGGCAGCGCTCAAACTTCTGTACCATATCCAGTAGCTTCATGCATCAGGGAGAGTGAGCTTCAAAGTCAGGCAAGTCTAAGCTATTAGGAGTTTTAATGAAAATGAAAGTCCCTACCACAATAGTATGTGTTCAAAACCAGTTTCCCTCCATCTTTTCCATTCAACCCCAAGGCCTTGGGTTCAGCTGTCAATGAGGCTCTTTTTTTTTTGGCGGGGAGGCATACCGGAGATTGAACTCAGGGGCCCTCAACCAGCTGTATTTTGTATTTTCTTTAGAGAAAAGGTCTCATTGAGTTGCTTAGCGCCCCGCTGTTGCCGCGGCTGGCTTTGAACTCGCTATTCTCCTGTCTCAGCCACCCAAGCCACTGGGATTATGGGCGTGTGCCACCATGCCTGGCTCAATGAGGTTCTTCTTTTGTGCCACCACTTCCATTCTGAAGCCTTCTCCCCACTGCCAAAGTACAAGGACTTTGACCTATCACTTTCTCCTGCTACTAAGAGGATAAAGTAACAAGGAGGGTTTGGGTATACAAGGGAGAACAGGTATTAGTGGGATCTTGTGGGGTCTTTTCTGTCATCTTGAATTTATCTCAGATGCTCACTTCTCCCACCTGAAAACAAAACAAACAAACAAACAAAAAAACTGCCTTAATGGATCTTAGTGATTTGGAAGAATGAGAATGATGAAGTTGGGCAACTTGGGACTGAATTCTGTCTTAGGCACTGAACTATGACCAAAATTCTTCAGTTCTCCAAGCCCATTTCCTCATTTGTCAAGTAACCTTTCTCCCTCCTAAATTGTAGGGAGGATTAAAGGAGATAATGTTATGTAAAGTGCCCAATAAAGAACCAGTCACAAGGTAGCTGCTCACTAAAGATCTAGCTCCTCCCTTCCTCATTCAGATGGAAAGTGGGTTTAGATTTACAAAATGACAACCCAGTGGGGTAGAGTGACAAGGTGAACTAAGAACTACCAGAAAAGGAACAAAGAGCAGTGGGAGAGGTAATAAAGTCCTAGGATGATTTGGGGCATTGCTGTTTACCGAGGTTTTTTTTTTTTGGCTGGCGGTGGGAAGTGTTGAACCCAGGAGCAATTTACCACAGAGCTTACACTCCCAGGCTCCCATTTTTTTGAGATGGAGTCTAGCTAAGGCTGCCCTCAAACTTGTAATTCACCTGCCTCAGCCTTCTGAGTCATTGGTATTAAAAGCATACACCAGGACTGGGGCCATGGCTCAGTGGTAGAGCGCTCGCCTAGCATGCATGAGGCACTGGGTTCGATCCTCAGCACCACATAATAATAAAATAAAGATATAGTGCCCACATATAACTAAAAATAAATATTAAAAAAAAGGCATACACCACTGTGCCTGGCTTTACTGAGGTTTTTGAGAGCTTCTTTGGAAGTTCTAGCGGGGAACATAGATACTCATGTACCCTTGACCGAAGAACATCGGGGCTCTCCTCTTCAACTGAGGGTACAGCTTCTGGAGGAAAGGGACACCTGCCTAGCCAGCTAGATCAGCTGAATCAACATTGGCAATCAATGGGGTGACAGATGTTTGCCCCTCACATCCTATTTACTGAAGTTCTGGACTAGAGAAGTCTTTTGCATTGTTTCACTATTCAACCCAGACAATATCCAGGGACAGAGCCAAACCCTTGGTTTCAAATCTAGACCTTTTCCTGCTCTCCTGAAGACACTCTTAGGCTGTAGAGAAATAGCCTGCGCAAAGGGCTACGGCACTGGGTATGGACAGACTCCTATCTAGTGCCAGAGCAGGAACTAAAAATGTTGCCTTTTTCTGTTTTAGGAAAACTTCGAGCAGAAATAGGTAAGTTCCAGCTACCCTCCCTCCTCAATTCCTCTTCAATTGGGAAATTCACTATTTATAAAACAATAACCAGCCACGAATTGTAGAGGGTCTTCCTCTCCGTGCCTTTAGTCAGAGCAGAAGTAAAATCCTATAGCTTTCCTTCCTCTCCTGGATCAGGACTAGAACAAATTTTAAGTGATTAAATAACAAAGACTCAAGAGAAGAAAACAAAGACTCAAAGAGAAGAAAGGAGCCTCTTAGATTGCCCTATTAAATCCATTGTTATTTGTTCTTCTTTCAGAGAATCTTCACCGGACCTTCGGTAAGTACAGGTATATCATGGTAAGTACAAGTGTATCACGGCCCTCCCGGGTCAACTTAGTTTTTCAACCAGGTTCCAGTCACCTGGAGGAAAAAGAACCTTTGGTTTCTGATGGGTATTCTCCCTCTTTTTTCTATCTTTAAATATGTCATCATTTGCATCTAGGATTGGTTAAAATAGCAAATACTATTATACCATGTGCCAGGTACTATACCAACAGCTTTACAAAATTTTTAAAAATATATTTTTTTAAATATTTAGTTATACATGACAGTAGAATGTATTTTGGCAGAATATACATACATAAATTATAACGTATTCTGTTTATATTCCCACTCTTGTACTCATACATGATGTGTCGTGTATACAAATACAGGGCTAGGAAAGTTATGTCCAATTAATTCTACTGTCTTTTCTATTCCTTTACAAATGTAAAGTGTTAAATCCTTACACATTTTTCTTTTAGGAATTACAAAGGAAGGTAAACACATAAACTTTGTGTATAGTTGGAGAGGTGAAACATACTTGAAATAACAGAACAAAACAAAACACACACACATCTACTGTACTTACATGGCAGAGTGAATTTTCATAAGTGTAGACCAAGTAACCATACTCAACTAATCAGGGAAAGTTTTTTGGAGCAGTAATGCCACAAGCCCCAAGAGAAAGTTGATCCCTTGAGGATATGGTCTCTGTCTTTTTCATTTACTACAGATTGCTCTGTGCCTAAGGACAATGCCAACAGAAGAGCATCCAAATATTTGTGCTGAAATGAATGAATTTCATAGAAATTAGAAGATGGCATTAGGCAGAGCACAGGCATTCCCTATGCTGAGCAGCCTTTCCTGCTGCCTCATACACATGTAAGAGCAAGAGGATCTTTATTTTGTAGGATTTTAATATCAAAGGTCTGAACTCTTTTTGTACCACGAAAGAATCCCTTCTTCTTCTTCTTTTTTTTTTTTTGTTGGGAATTAAACCCAGGGCCTTGCACTTGCTAAAACAAATGCTCTACCACCAAGTCACATTCCCATCCCCAGAAAGTTTTTAAATGTACACATAACACATAGGATTACAAAGAAAATCTGTGTTGGAATACAGCTATCAACACATAAACAAACTGATATATTAACAAACGTTCCTTTAAGTAACAAAAGTAACGCATAAATACAGTAGCAGCAACTCTCAACATAAACAGCACCTGGAGATTTCTGTAACAACTCCAATGGGATGGAAAACATCTGTGATTTCCGTTGGCAATGAAAGTACAGGTACTGCGATACTGTGATGTGAATAAAGACGTGGTGCTTCTCATCCAAGTTCATGGACTCCCTGGACTCTGTCCTGAGTCCTTTGGTGTTCTTGGACCAGAAGCCTCAAAAGGAGAAGAGTGAGTATGAGCGGAAATACATATTAACCCTGTTTGTTCTGATGAACAATTCAGATCCCCACTTTCTGAGGGTGCCCTGCTGGAAGATAACCCTGTTTGTAATCGTACCAGTTCTTGGACCCCTGGTTGCCTTGATCATCTGCTACAACTGGTTGCATCGAAGACTGGCAGGTGAGGTGGTGGGGAGGAGACAGTAAATAGAACCACTAAGCAGTGGGGGACCCAGGCAGCCCTGACTGGGAAACAGTACAACCAGAACCCTGGAATTCCTCTTCTGTCCTCATGCCCATCGGCAGGCTCCTCAGAGGAGTTGCTAGGAGATTTGCTTACGAAATCTGTGGGGCCCCTCAATGGAAAGGGAAGGGTCATTTTGAGTGTCCACAGGGAGGATGTGAGAGGGGGTAGCCATCTTCCATTGATCATCTATTTATTTCTCTTGTTTGCAGGGCAATTTCTTGAGGAACTAAGTAAGTTCTCTTCTCTTTCTTATAAACTGAGAACAAAAAGCCAGGAAAGGGAAACTGAAGCTACAAAGAAGGGGTTACTGAAGACACCCAATCCCAGGACAGGAGGGGCTGGAAAGTATGATGGAGGAGGACTCACCCTATGAGGGAGAGGGAAGAAGGCAGTTGTCAGATTCAAGTTTACAGGTGGCACAGAGGGAAGCTGGGCTGCTCCCATCTACTGTCTCATCTGCTCTACCTGCAGTGCCCTCCAGTAGGAATCTCCCCTCCCATTCTCAACAGCAGCTGCCCAGTGCTTCACCTCCAAGACCAACTACCAAGGCAGCCACAGAAATAAGATGACCTCAGGGGTCTTTTCATTTCCCAGATTCAGGGGTTTCATGATAGAAACTTCTGACATTGATTTTTCAAGTTATTTTCTCCTTCTTCTAGGAAATCCCTTCTGAGTGCTGTGGCATTTTGACGAGGTTGGAGGCGAGCCTGGTGGGTCCAGAGACTGATCCTTGGGGATGTCTCATCCATCAAGTTGCACACTCACTGGCCACTTCTAGGAACATTCTGAATTCAAAATAGAACTGATTTCCCTTCTGTCATCTACCTTTTTTCTTCCTTTCCTCAGCTCCTTCCCTCCTTTGCCATTTTTTTGCTTCCCATGTTTCTCCTCCTCTCCATCTTTCACTAGGAAGCCCTCTCTGGCTAAAGCCAGGTGGGTCTCTTCTTCATCAGAGGACACCTGTGCTGGAGAGTAACACAGACAGAAGGAGTTCTCCCACAAACAAGACCAAGATCCTCCTCACTGCCAATTACAGAACATCCAATTTGCAAATGGTGGTTGTTTCTTCCAAGACTGAGCCCTTATTGAGCAGAGCTGAGAGGGTAGAAGGGAAGGAATAGGAAGAGTCCAAAATATCAAAGAGGGAGCTGAATGAGCTGCAGAGTGAGGATGTAGGGAGCTCTAACCAAGACCTGGAAGTGGGGAGAGAACATAGAATACCGGCCAGAGCTCCGTCTCATCTATGCAGCCTATGGAGGGCCACAGGAAGCAATGCATGGGAACTGAGCAGCACATCCACTTTTAGAATGGTTTCCCTTCTACTTCCACAACTTCTCTGCATCCCTCGAACTTTCTCTCCTCTAATCCCTTTCTCCCATCTTCATACCTATCACAGTAGACATTGTTTTAGTCAACAAATACTACTTGATGATCTATCAGACACAAAGAAACAAGTTAGGTGCTAATTAATAATAATGAGTTTCTATATGCACACATCCTTTCCCTTTTCTTTGTTTATTTTATTCATCATCCATTCACCTCTCTCCCTCTACTCAAGCCTCCTGACCCTGGAGGTCAGTCCTCAGGAAAACCAAACACAAAGACCTCTGTTGCAAAGGTCATTTATTTATGTTTTGAGATCCTCACTGCCTCCTTCGCCTTGTCTCCTTTGCATGCCTTCTCCCATATTGCATCTCTCCTGGGGATATGGATTCCTGAAGATCTATTTCCTCCATGTCTCTAATCCTTCCCAGTCGTGGGGAATCATGAAAGCAGCCAAGGCTCTGGCCCAGGATTACCCAGCATATATGGGGACTGCCTAGGTACTGTTCCTTGCCTTTATAGCTCCTCCAGTGATTCAGAAGGTCCTCTTTCTCCCCAAAGCAGAGGTCACAGATGGGGCATCGGTAGATCTTTTGTTTCCAGTGAGTCTGCTGGTGCTTGGAGAGCCAGAAGGATGAGCTGAAGGACTTGCCACAATAGAAGCAGCAGGTAGGCTGCTCTGTGAGGTGAACCTTCTGGTGACTGGAGAGAGAGGCTTTGTTGGTAAAAGTCAAGGGACAATGTGGGCAAGAGAAGACCTTGAATCTTGAGGGTTGCACTGTAATAGAGTTGGATCTGGTATTCCGGTAGGAGGATCTACTGTCTGGTGCTTGTGTCCTGGTCACAGAATTCTTAGTTTTAAATCTGGGTTCCTGGATCCTAGCCACTGGTGCCTGGTTCACAAGTCCCTGGATGGACTTCTGTCTCGTGACAATGGGCTCCCGCAATCCAGCTGTGGTGCCTGGAATCCTCACAACATGCTTCTGGTTTCCAGCCACTGGCTCCTGGTTTTTGTGTATCTTCTGATGGCGTTTGAGCTCAGATCTGTCCCGGAAGCACTTCCCACAAACGGGGCACGAATGAGGCCGGTAATTCAAATGAACACGGCGGTGCCGACTCAGTCCAGAAGCGTCACAGTAGGTCTTATCACAGAGTAAGCAACGGAAGGGCCTCTCTCCATGATGTCTGCGCCTGTGGTGGCTGAGGGCCTTGCGGCTCCAGAACAACTTTCCACACCGGTTACAGATGTTAGTCTGCTTAGGGTTGTGAACAAACTGATGACTGGAGAGATGGCTGTGGAGGTAGGAGCTCTTTCTGAAACACCTGCCACAGGTGTTGCAGAGAAAGGGTGGTCCAGGTTGGGATGTTCGGAACATTGAGATCCTGCCAGAAGGTGGTCTCTGGCTTGTCCCTCTGTGAAGAAGGGAGACTTTCTTGTCATCACTAGCCCCCTCATTTCTTAGATTCTGACCTGGCTCTTGAAGTTCTTCTTTCTTGTCTCCTGTAGCAAATGAGGAAGTATCAATGACACAAGATTCACAAGGCGAAGGCCAGTACAACCTCTCCCTCCAGAGTGAGCCACTTCCCCTTCTGCCATCACTTTCCCACCTGCACATTTACCCCCACCCTTAAACTTCATAGGATGGAGACAAGAATAACTTTAGGCTTTTCAAATTATAAGCAAATAGGGCTGGGGCTGGGGCTCAGTGGCAGAGCGCTTGCCTAGCATGTGTGAGGCACTGAGTTCAATCCTTAGTACCGCATAAAAAACTAAACAAATAAAGGCATGCTGTCCATCCACAACTATAAAAAAAATTATAAGCAAATAAAAATTTAACTGGAATCTTCCAACAATGTCAGAGATCTATATTTTAACTTATGGCCACATTTCTTGAAATTTATTTTCTCATTCCAATATTGTCCACACTCCCACAGACACTTACTCCACAGATATCCACAAATATCCACACAATGTATAGTAATCTACCATATTTGTGACTTCAAATTTCATGGTTTCAGTTATCCACAATCAGCCACAGTCCAAAAATATTACATGGAAAATTCCAGAATTTGAGAGAGAAAAAAGACCATATTCACAGAACTTTTTTTATAAGTGTTCTATTTTACTATTATTGTTTAATGCCTTACTGTTCCTAATTTATAAATTAAATTCAGCTGGGCAAGGACTGGGAATGTAGCTCAGCAGTAAAGTGTCCCTGGTACCATTACTGAAAATTGAACCCAGAGATGCTCTGTCACTGAGCCACATCTCCAGCCCTTTTTATTTTTTTATCTGGAGACAGGGTCTTGCTAAATTGCCCAGGCTGGGCTCAAACTTGCAATCCTTCTGTCTTAACCTCCTAAGTTGGTGGGATTACAAGCTAATTCCACTGTGGGTTTTGGAAGACTTTCCTGTGGATAAGGGAGCACTCTACCTCCAGCCCAAGGAGGACTACTATATCATGCAAATTGGAACATTTGAGAATAAAGATATGTTATTACTAATTAAACTGGAAACCAGGCATGGTTGCTTAGGCCTGTAATCTCAGTTACTTTGGAAGCTGAGGCAGAAGAATGGCAAGTTAGAGGCCAGTTTCAGCAACTTAGGGAGACCCAAATAAAAAACAAAAAGGACTGGAGTTGTAGTTCAGTGGTAGAGAGCCCCCTGGGTTCAGTCCCTAGTGCTGCTTAATTAATCAATTAATTAATTAATTAAGTGTAATAGGAATAAAAAGGGATAGGGATATAGCTCAGTGGTGGAGGTTTGCCTAGCATGCAAGGAGCCCAGAGTTCAATCCTCAATACCTCCAAAAGAAAAAAAAAAATCTATCAAGTTGGCATGAGAAGGACAGTTCTAGCAAATTGGGAGATGTAATCAGTCTGGCTTGATATCTTCTTAACTCCTTATTCTACTCCCAGGAATAAGTCTTCCCTTCTCCAATGCACCCTCAACTTTTCTCTCCTGCTTCTCTTTTCTTTTGGAAAGAAATTTTCATCATAGGGGTATTAGCTGACAAAGCTACTCAGATAAGACATTATTTGTCCTGAAAGGCTTAGACATTCATCACCAAGTCAAGGATTCAGCCTTTCATCTCCAGGTCTCTTTTAGCTCCAAGTCTAACCAGGCTGGAAAAATGGATGATATACAGAGAACCTTGATTCTCTCAGTGAGCTCTCCACCCTTCCAGGGATTGCCCTGGGCCCTTTTGATTTTGTCTCCTTTGCAACTCTTACCTGAAGGGAGGCCTTCTCTGTTTGGCTGATGGAGATCTGCCCTCTTCTGTCTCTCTTCTTGCTCAAGCTTGGTGACCACATCTGATTTAGGCAGAAATATTCCTCCTGGTAAGTGGGAATGAAAGAAAGAGTAAAGCTGGGCCCAGGCTTGGACCCTTCACATCTGGTCAACAGGTTACTTTTTGTATGCTTGTTTTAAGAACCTTAATCTGGAGGGCTCTGCACTTGATGAACAGAATGTGACAGAATTTATGATGTGCCAACTTGCAAGCTCAGGCATTAGTAAATCGGTAGCTACCACATCCTGTCCTTTGAAACATCCTCTCAGCCAGGCACCATGGCTCACACCTGTGATTCCAGAGACTCAGCAGTCTGAGGCAGGAAGATTGCAAGTTCAAAGCTAGCCTTAGCAATTTAGTGAGGCCGTCAGCAACTTTGCAAGACCCTGTCTCAAAATAAAAAATAAAAAGGGCTGAAGGTGTGACTCAGTGGTAAAGCACCCATGGATTAAATCCCCAGAACAACAACAACCAAAAACAAAAAACAAAACAAAAAAAACCCTCTTGCAACCCATCTTCCATGCTAGAAGGGAGCTCAAGCAGCCCTATGGAAAATTCTACAGGAAGAAGAACTCAGGTTCCTGTCCAAGCTTCCAGTCAAAAGCTACTTTGAATTTATCAGCCACATGAATGAGTCATCATCAAAATGGATCCTCTAGCCCCAATAGCCACTCCAGCTATCACCATATTAAACCAAAACAAGATTTCCTTGTTGAGCCCTGCCCAGACTATAGATCTGTGAGTCAAATAAACAATTACTGATTTAAGTCCTTAAAAAACAAAACAAAACAGAATTTAATCTGTACACTTAGATGCAGAAACACATTGCAAAAGGCCAGATTCTAAGTGCCTGGCACATGAGTGACATAATAAATATAGGTTGGACGAACAGACAAATTTGCATATTTTGAGAACTCTGTCATCATGTTACAAGTGTTATGTCTGCCTTTATGCAGATTTTCATTTCTTCTCCTTTTACCCCCGAGCTTAGTGACCCAGATTTTCCACATCTGGAAGGCACAGAACTAGTTCAGTGAAGCTAACTGTGCCCAGGTAATGACTCAGGACCCCACCTCTTACCCACAGACTCCAGGTTTTTGAAGGTTTCTGACATAACAACCTGGTAAAGAGCTCTCTGACTGGCATCTAGACATTCCCACTCTTCCCAGGTGAAATTCACTGCCACATCCTCAAAGGTGACAGGCATCTGGAAGAGTAGAACAGATTCAGAGTGTGTATATACATGACACTCAAGATTCAGAGAACTGAGCCAGGCACAGTGGTGCACGCCTATAATCCCAGTGGCTCAGGAGGCCAAGACAGGAGAATCACAAGTTCAAAGCCAGCATCAGCAATGGTGAGGCACTAAGCAACTCAGTGAGACCCTGTCTCTAAATAAAATACAAAATAGGGCTGGGGATGGGGCTCAGTGGTTGAATGCCCCTGAGTTCAATCCCTGATACCCCCTCCCCTAACCCCCAAAAGATTCAGAGAACTAAAACCTAAGAGAAAAATAAAACCATGGAAGGAAGAGAGAAATTTTAAAAAGATAGGTACTAAGCCAGCAACTGTGACCTACAGAAAGGAAAGGAAAGATGCAGAAAAATGAAAAGAAGATGTGGTAGGAAAGGGAGTGGGATATGCATAATATGAATAGGAAAGAAAAGAAAAGACCCACAGGCAGGAGAATAGATGAAAGAGCTCCTGGAGAGTAGGACCTGGTCCCTCCCTCTTTCTAGCTAGTTCTCCTTACTTTCAACCACAATCTTTCTTCTTGGCTTCCTGAAGGGATGTTGCTACCCCACCCACCTAAGGGTGCTGTACCTTCTCTTCTGTGGTGTCTCTTTCTTGCTTTCTCCACTCCTGGCCTAGCCCCCAAGGAAGACTGTACTCCTTCTTGGAGCTCTCTACCTCCCCAAAACTGGGCAGATGGAGAGGCCCTGCAAAGTCTGGAGGGTTTGATATGGCTTCCCGTGACAAGCACTTCTGCTTCAAGGGACTGTCTTCTTTCTTTGTTGTGCCGTCCAAAGTCTCCTCTTTTACCACTGAGAACACCTTTGGTTCCCTCAAAGTCTGGGCTGCAGAATTCAGGGACCTGGTCATCCTTCGCTCAGCTGCCATTGTCCAGTAATGCCAGGCTGAAGGCAGGTGTCTACCTTCTGTTTCAGCCTGCTTTATGGAATTGGCTGGTGCCTACCTCTAGGAACCTGAGGTCAGAGAGAAACAAAACATATGAGGAAGAAGGAGAGTAAGAAACAACTCCTTATTTGGTCAGTGAACACCAAGAGTTATTAACCCTCTACTCTGTATCATTGAAACCTCTTAGCAATGCCCATTGAGGTAACAATTATTGGCACCATCTTAAAGTATGCAAATATAGAGATGCTGAGTAACTTGGAGAAGACACTCTTGATCCATGGGAAAGTTAAGTGTTGAAACCCTACTCAGTACCACTGAAAAGCATATATCTAGGGCATCCAGATCTGAATCTTCTGAATCTGTCACAAACCACCTCGAATGAGTCTCTTCATTTTCTCTGACTTGGTTTCATTGGAAATGTGAAAATAAAGAAGACATTCTCTAAGATCTCTTCCAGAGATAAATACACACACACACACACACACACACACACACATATATATATATATATATATATATATATTTTTTTTTTAATGATTCTGTGACCAAGATTTTCTTCTTCTCCTTCTCCTGGTGCTGGGTCTCAGACCCAGGGTTTTTAGCAAACACTAAGCTACATCCACAGCCTGTGATAAGTTGAAAGTCTTAAATCAGAAATGCATTTAATGCACCTAACCTACAGAACATCTTGGCTTAGCAACAAAGCACACTGCAGAGTATCAGTTGTTTCCTCTCCTTATCATGTGCCTGACAAGAAGCTGAAGCTCACTGGCACTACACAGCTTCAGGACAATATCAGAGGCAGGGCACAGTGGTGCATGCCTGTAATCCCATGGCTCTGGAGGCTAAAGCAGGAGCATCAAAAGTTTAAAGCCAGGGGCTGGGGATGTGGCTCAAGCGGTAGCGCGCTTGCCTGGCATGCAAGGTTCGATCCTCAGCACCACATACAAAGATGTTGTGTCCGCCGAAAACTAAAAAAAAAATAAATATTAAAAAAAAAAATTCCCCCTCTCCCCCCCCCCCCCTCCCTTTTTCTTTAAAAAAAAAAAAAAAAAGTTTAAAGCCAGCCTTAACAGCTTAGTGAGGCCCTAAGTAACTTAGCAAGCAAGACCCTATCTCTAAATAAAATATAAAAAATGGTTCGGGCATGTGGCTCAGTAGTTGAGTCCCCCCTTTCAATCCCTGGTACCAAAAAAAAAAAGAGAGAGAGAGAGAGATGAGAATATCAGAGTATTATATTATATGTATATCACTAGCCTGGGAAAAAGATCCAAATTCAAAATCCAAAGTACAATCTCAACTGAATGGGTAAGGCTTTCCTAACACTGCAAAGTCAAAATACATTAGTTAAACAATCATGTCATTGTGAGCCAGAGAGCATCTAAACAGCATGATGCTTGTAAAGAATAATACCAACAACAACACAACAGCTCTCACGTATTCAGGGGTCACGCTGTGCCAAGCACTGTCGCTCCCTGCTCACTTTGAAGCGTTCTTGCTCTAATGCAAACATGCTAGAACACCAGTTCCTGCTAACAACCACTCACCCACATCTTCCCTCCCTTCAGATGCTAAGAAAAGTATATTAAACTGTTGACTTTTTTTTTCCTTTCATTTTTTTGGAAAGGTAATGAAAGTAATAAATGCCAGCAAGGAAAATGACATTTGAGTAAAAGTGAATTGGATACCGCCAAAGATGTGATGATAACTGCAGTCCTAGGATCTGAAGTTGATTTTCTTCTTCTTTCCTCTCTCCTCTCTCCCTTTTCCTTTCAAGGCTATTCATGAGAAAGAAAAAAAAAAAAGAAAGAAAGGATAAAAAAAGGACTATTTATTGGTGAAGGCATTCCTGCACTCGCTGTTTGACAGGGTCACAGCATGGGGGATGCTGCTGCAGGTCTGCAAGGCAGGAACGACCTACAAGGCAGTACCAAACCGCTCCACCGCACCACCACCGCACCACATCAGAACCATTAGGAATGTTAAGTGTTATGCCATGGTCCTTCAGGACCACCATGGATCCTCACTATCCCCCAGCGGGGCTGGACCTGGACCTCAGCAATTTATGATCAGCTGGGTGTGGTAGTGCAGGCCAGAAATCCCAGCGATTTAGAAAGCTGAGGCAGGAGGATTCCAAGTTCAAGGCCAGACTAGCAAGACCTTGTCTCAAAAAACAAAAAGCGCTGGGATGTAGCTCAGTGGTAGAGTGTCCCTAGGTTCAAGTCCCAGTAACAGAGGAGATAACAAGACTATTCATGGCCATTTTTATGAAGTAAAGAGATCTATTTTCCAGCCAATTGCACTTTAAACAGCCTCAATGATAATGTCCTTAAAGACTTGCCTTTCCACTCGCCAGCATGGAAGAACTCTGCTGTCATCAGTACTTAAGATGGCTTTTGCTGAGAGTGGCAGGAAGAGGTCCTTGATCAGGATTCTATCTTCTGTCAGGGTTGTCTCTCTGGCGGCCTACAAGAGTACTTTCTTTGTCCACAGGACCCCGGAGCTCAACAGGGGTCTGGAGTGGAAGGAAGCTAGATATGACTCACCAGACTTTTGGCTATTAAGGGGCCGGAAGTCACAGCAGGCTTACACCTACCGGCCAGTCCCCACCCTTCCAGAAAGCAATTCCTGTTGGAATGTGTCGCCATTTTCCAGTCCTGACCAAATCAGTCTCTCTCCAAACCAAAACCCTATCATAATTTCCCACAGGAAATTCTCAAAATGCCCCTTAAATCCCCAACACACCCTCAAGGCTTTGTGGGATGTGCCCTCGAGGTCCCAAACCCGGGTCTTCAGCCACGTGAATATTCTGCCCTTCAGCGAACCGCCCAACACTCGTCCCTCTAATATGGCCTTTGGGTCGCTGCTCAGGCCTTCCAAGGATACTTCCAGTCACTGTGCCTCCCAGGCCGGTCAGATCACGGCTCCTGGTGGCTGCTTGGGGCCCCGACTATTCACTCACAGCGCTTCATAGCGCTCTGGAGGGAGCCGGGCTGTTCTGCTCACCACTGCGGCGCACAGCAGGGTCTAACACTCACCGAACCAGCTTCGGTGCTCTGAAATAGTCTCACTGACTTGGACGGCACTGCCCGATGCCCGTCTGTCCTGAAACCCTCTTTTCTGGGATCACAACTCAACACGTGCCAGGACCCTTTCCTTGGCGCAAGCCCCCAAGGTGGCGGGAGTGGACACTGCACCAAGCCACACACACCTGGCTAAGTCTGGGATCCCACAAGTTGGAAGTTCCCCCAAGATTAGGGCCTCACCCTGCCGAGGTGAAGGATGGAGGAATACCGGACAAATACCCTCCATCAGACTCCACCGCAAGGAGCGCCTCTCTTCGCTGCCTTACTCACCAGTCCAGCCCCGATCTGATTTCCGCGCTTAGCGTCTTTGTAGCTGGTAGCTGGAGCACTCCGCCCAGGCACAAAGTCTAGAGCGCTCGCAACCCCGCCCAAATCCCGCCTGCTTCCGCTGACCTCTTACGTAGCCAAGTGACCTAGCACAGTCGGTGGTCTAGCCAAGGTCAGGAGTTTGCATCCCAATTCTAACGCACAGAGAGCACCGCCTTGCCCTACCAACTCGCTCCACCTACCAATTGATAGCCACTGGTCCACTTCATGCTTGGAAAAAATATGGACCAAATTACCTCGATTAAAATCACGAAACCACTAAAACTTTTGGGGGGGTTGACTTTTTTTAATTTTAATATTTATTTTTTAATATTTGGCGGACACAACATCTTTGTCTGTATGTGGTGCTGAGAATCGAACCCAGGCCGCACGCTTGCCAGGCGAGCGCGCTACCGCTTGAGCCACATCCCCAGCCGGGGGGGATGGGGCGGGTGGGGGTGGGTGGTTTGACTTCGTGAGGGAAAATGAAAATTTTACAGCCCCTCAAGCACACAGCATCTTAGAAAAGTAAAAGTTAAGGAGTGAATACAATGAGACTTGATTGATGCCCAGACACTAGATAAAGGCGGGGAGAACCATGGACCGCGTCAAGATCATGTCCTAGAGCCAGCGCATTGGCGCACGCCTGTAATCCCAGGGGCTCAGGAGGCTGAGACTAGAAGATCTGGAGTTCAAAGCCGGCCTCAGCAACAGCAAGGCGCTAAGCAACTCAGCAAGCCCATCTCTAAATAAAATGCAAATAGGGCTAGCGATGTGGCCCAGTGGTTGAGTGTCCCCGAGTTCAATTCCCAATACCCCTCCCCCCCCCAAAAAAAATAATCAAGTCCTAGGGTCCAAGTCTGGAACCCAGTCCTCTGTGATCTTTTATTTTATTTTTAAAAAAAATCTCTTTGGGGCTGGGGATGTAGCTCAAGCGGGAGCACGCTCGCCTGGCATGCGCAGGGCGCTGGGTTCCATCCTCAGCATCACATAAAAATAAAGTAAAAAGATGTTGTGTCCACCGAAAAACTAAAAAAATAAATATTAAAAAATTATCTCTCTCTCTCTGTCTCTCTCTCTCTCTCTTTCTCTTTTTTTAAAAAATCTCTTAAACAGCTCAACTGAAACCACAATTTCCTTTCATTAGCATTTTAATTATAAACTCATCTCGCTTTGTATTAATGATTGTTATATTTTACATTAATATGAAGTTTTACAATTTACACAACCAACATTTTTGTAAACAAATACTCCTTGAATTCTCACAACTTCTGGGAAGTAGGCATTACTATTATTATGCTTTTTGTTTTGTTTTGTGTTTTTTTTTTGCAAGTGAGGAAACAGATCCAGAAATGTTGAACCTAGTGAAAGACCATGACCCACACTGCACCAGGACTTGAAACCAGACTCTGCTTTCAAACCTCCACTCTGATGTCTTGGCTCCATGGGAAAGCACTGGGTGGCTGGCAAGTGCAAGTTTTGAACCTCGATGTTCTCAGGTATGTGACACAGTGTTCTGTCCACAGTGTTTCAGGCAGACAGTGGATATCTATGATCTCAGGCAGCATCAGAGCAAAATAGTTGGCTGGG